ATTGTGCTATGGGCACCAAGCATTAAATTGTAATTTTTTTTTTCTTTGGCTGGGGCTGGGTTTGAACCCGCCACCTCTGGGATATGGGGCTGGCGCCCTACCCTTTTGAGCCTCAGTCTCAGCCTCAGGTACCGCCCACATTAAATTGTAATTTTAAAAAATGTTTCCTCTACTTACATTTGCAGTTTTAGTAGTACATAGCAGTGTGTTCAGCAGGTAGTAGTTACTTTGTAAATGTAAACCTTTGTGGTGATGGAGTCACAACCTTGGTGAGGAATGTCAAGAGCAGCACAAGGTTGATGAATAATTAAATGTGTTTAAAACAGTGTTGCTCAAAAAATACAGATGTTCCTACCATTTGGCACCACCCCTACTCCACCAGTTTGGAATCAGGCTTTCCTCCAGTGGGTCCTAGATATTGCTATCAGGTTTCCACAGGTGATTCTGATGTTCACTCTGGGTTGAAACCACTGGGCTATATAAATTATAAATTGCCCATTTTTATTTTAAGATGAAAATCGGCTTGATTTTCTCTCTGCTATGCTTTTTCCACGTTTGCAAAGATAAATAAGGTAGGGGGAGGCTTCTCTTGAATGAAAGAGAAATGCAGAATTTTATCATGGTGTAAAATATGTCTCAAGGTGTAAAATTATTATAACTATCCTATTTAGAACTGTAAGACAGAGCTGTTATTCTGTTATTGGTTTGATCATTCAAGTTTCTTTCTTTTTTTTTTTTTTTTTAATGTATGTGCTTCTTTATTAGTTTAAGAGCTGAAATCTTTTTTTTTTTTTTTTGGCAGGGCTGGGTTTGAACCCACCACCTCTGGCATATGGGGCTGGCACCCTACTCCTTGAGCCACAGGTGCTGCCTGATCATTCAAGTTTCTTAAGCACTTTTTAGAACTGTGTGCTAGCCAGTGTTCTAGAACATGGAGCACTGTTTTAGATACTAATTGTAATGCATATAATATGGGACATTTTGTAAATACAAACATCAATTCTTTTAAACTCCTTTACAGTTTTGGTTTTGATTCTTCCAGGTTCTTCAGATAGATCCTGAAGTCACAGATGAAGAAATAAAAAAGAGGTTTCGACAGGTACAGAACTATTTCCCTATTTTAGATGGAGTTTGAACCTTTTGAAACTTTATGAAGCACATAATTCTCCTAGCACTTGCTGTTATGGCTTGATAGAAAACCTTGGGGCCGAGTGGTACCTGTGGCTCAGTGAGTAGGGCACTGGCCCCATATGCTGAAGGTGGTGAGTTCAAACCTGGCCCTAGCCAAACTGCAACAAAAAAATAGCTGGGTGTTGTGGCAGGCGCCTGTAGTCCCAGCTACTTGGGAGGCTGAGGCAAGAGACT